ATGTATTTGCAATGAATAGTCATTGGTCTTGCAAAATTAAAAAAATGAGAATAGACTGCTCATTTTTGAGGGATTAACCACAGAAAACCTTATGAATAGCAGCAAAACTTTGTCAGATAGCCTGTCAGGAGATGAGACTCAGATTGAAAGGCAATCAAACTGCGACTGAGAAAGAGCTGCTTCCTCAAAGTTGAGTTGACTTACATAATGTGGATGGAGTAAAGCTTTCAAGAACTTTATTTGCTGGTGTCACACACTCAAAATGAAAATAAGCAGCTGCAAATATTCATTAAAATTTAGAATATGAATCTAGGAAGATTGGAAGTTGTTAAAAATGAAATGGAATGTATAAAGATAAATTTTATAGGCAGTAGGGAGATAAAATGGACTGGCAGAGGTAATTTTTAATCAGACAATTGTATGGTTTACTGGGCCAGGAGTGACAAATGACAAAAGAGGAATGGCATCTCGCTCATTGTCAAGAAGAACATTTCTAGATCTTGAAGTACAGTGCTGTCTATGACCATATAATGTTGATATGCCTACAAGGAAGTTCAATTAATAGAACTATTATTCAAATTTATACACCAACCACTAAAGCTAATGATGCAGGAATTGAAGAATTCTACCAGCATCTTCAGATAGAAATTGACCAAACATGCAATCAAGAGGCACTAATAATTATTCATGGTTTGAATGTGAAAGTTAGAAACAAAGAGGATGGAACAGTATTTGGAAAACATAGCCTTAGTGGCAGAAATAAAGTTATAATCCAATGGTAGAATTTTGTAAGGCCAATGCCTCCATTTCAAATAAACCTTTTCAGTAACACAAACAGCAACAGAACCACACCAGATAAAATACACAGGAATTAAACTGACTACATCTGTGGAAAGAGATAATAGAGAAGCATATCATCAGCCAAATGAGTCCAGGAGCTGACTGTGGAACAACTCAGCACCTGCTTATACACAAGTTTAGATTAAAGCTAAAGAAATGTATAACAAGTCCATGAGATTCAAAATATAACCTTGAGTATAATGACTATTTTAGAACATTTCAAGAACAGATTTGATTGCTTAAACATTAATAATTGAAGACCAGATGAGGTATGGGACGGCATCAAAAATATCAGACAGGAAGAAAGCAAAAAGTCATTAAAACAGAAGGAAAGAGAGATAAGCCCAAAATGGATATTAGGAAAGACTGAAATTTGCTCTTAAATATTCAGTAGCTAGAACAAGAAGAAGAAATAATGAAATCAAAGAGCTGAACAGAAATTTTTAAAATGTAGCTTGAGAAAACAAAATAAAGTATATTTAAATGTGCAGAGACA